TGCATAGAAGTAGAACTATCATCATGATGATCTATTGAGATAATTAACTTATGCCAATTCCAAGCTACTTTTAAGTTCAATTATCTATTTAATTAGAAGATGTGAACCAACTATGTATCTTAAACTATGATCAAATGAATTGTGTAATTGACATGTAATTCTGAATCTCTTACCTATAAATTTTCTGAGACGATTAAAACTAGAATGTATTCACAAATTCTTATGCGACTCAATCTCCCTGTCTGTCTAACGATTATATCATCATAATATTCTAATAAAAAAACGAACTTATACTATAAAATGTTATATTTTTATTTATAATATTTGCTAGCGTATGATATTTCAGTTTAAAAGGGTTAAAAGGTGTATGATTTTAGTTAACAAAAATTTACTCCCAAGTTTAGAAGTCCCATTCACAAGGTGAAACTCATCCAAACCTAATAAGTATAATTATTTATGCTAATTAATTAGATATATACTAGTATTCGGCCCTGTGCATTTGCACAGATATAAATAAAGTATTGTGAGTTATTTGTACACATATAATGATTAATTATTTTTTTTTCACCTTTTTGCTGGCTAAATTTACAATTAAAGGAGTTAAAATATATTTTTTTTTTTAAATTTGCGTTTATCTGATCGAATGTTATGTATATTTTTGTATGTCTTTTTTATGAATTATTTATTATTTATTTAAGAATTCAAATACGTTTTTTATTTTAAAAAAAGTAATAATTTAAATGTGACCACAATAATAACATCTAATCACATTATACGGCCAACACATTATATGGTCAACTATCAGTAATCAAAAGTTGAAAATGATTTTTGTAATTTTGAAGTGATTAGTGTTGATTATTTAATAATTAAATGAAATATTAAATACATCAAAAGTAACGGTTATTGGAGGGAAAATGATTGAATCGCATAGGTAAAATTAAATAGGTTTTATTAAATGCTATTAGCTAGTAATTATATATATATATATATATATATAGATTGTGTTTTAGATCATTAGATGGAATGGAGCAATAGAATGGTCCCATCTCGATTCAAACAACATAAAGCATTGTACAAATCTTTCTTTGAGCTACTCAAAAATGTCTTAGCGTGTAAGCAATCTTAATTTCAAGAACGGTTTTGTAAACTTATGTATTCAAATGTGTCCTGCAATAAATTTCACACATGTATTCACATTTTAATTTCAAGAACGATTTTGCAAATTACGTATTCACACGTGTCCTACAATAAATGCACATTGAACACGTGTCAGTACATAAAGTTATCCGATAACTCCATAAAATTTTTTTTCAAGAAAGAAACTTAATTCAATCTCTATCTATTTCCTAATTAAATAAGTCAGGTTCAATTTCATGAATTTCCATGCATGAAATTTTGGTGTTTCAAATCCCCATAAAAATGCTCCCTCTTAAGAAATGTATGTAAGGTCAATTGTACACACCTTAATGCATATGCTTGCCTTATTATATATGGACATGTACAAGTATAGATTTTAATATATAGTATAAAGATATGGTGTGTAATAATTAAGAGAATCAAGAAAATTTACAAACACTAAGGTTTAAAAAATGTCCATCATTCATTCAAGTCACAAAATGGGGTGATGCATGGTGAGGAGACACATCCCGCGTGTTGATGTCTCTCTTTTAATATAT